GAAGGACTTGTTTTCTGTGCTTTGGGCCACTTGCCCTCCCCAAACACTGCTCTGCTTGGATGGCTGAGGGACAGTCACAGGCAGGCTGTGTCCTCAGCAGTGTGGCAGTGCCACTGGCCAGGGGACAATGCTGTTTTGCTGTGGAATGACACCTGTGGGATAGTCACTGTCTCAGCATGGACACAGGCCATATGACCTGGGAAAGCAGCTCCATGCCAAGAGCCACTCCAGCCTTGGTGAAGATGCATGAGCCTCATCCCCTCCCCAAACTCTCTGCCCTCAGGTTAGTTCCAAGGACAGTTGTCTTTCTGGTCAATGTTGTTGCACTTGCAACACCACACAGATGGAGCTGATGCTGTTTCAGAGCTGACTGAAAAAGTGACAGAAAAGAGTTGCTGCTGAGCTTCTTCTATGCCCTGGGGTTGGCAGGCTTTGCCCTATATCCCTGGTTCCCTCACCCAGCATCACCAAGTGCTAGGAGGTTGCTCTCCCCTGGACATGGATCCTGTGGGAAGCACATGCCATTAGCTTGCCTTGTTAACAAAAAAGCACTAAATCAAAGCAGCAGACAAACCACTCTGTCTGCCAGAATGATACCTCATGGAGTAACCATCTTCCATGCCTCAAGGCTTCCGGGGGATCCACAGTGAGAAGCCAAGACATATTTCTGACCCTAAAGCACCTGTGTAATTACACACCTGTGCAGCCAAAATGTCTGAAAGACAAGGGACAGCCTTTTTTCTTGTCCTGAAGCAATGTGTCTGCTGCCACCAGGGCAGCAGCCCCACCAGTCCCCAACACCAGTCAGGTACTCCAGCTCCCATCACAGAGGCCAGGACTGAACTGTGGACACAGTCCTGCATCAGCAGAGTGCAGCACACCTGGCCCTAGAAGACTTGTGGAGGACAAATGTGACTGAACACACACTAAGGAAATACAATCCTAAGTGCCTTTATTTACATGTTTTCCTCCTTGTCACAAAAGGCTGAGAAGGCAGGCACACATGTGGAACAGGAGGAAAAAGCCAGTACGCCCCAACAGTGCAAAGGCAGTGCCCACTTTACCCAAGCATGAGACTAGTCCCCAGCTCTCTCCCTTCTCCACTCTAAGATTAATGGACCTCCATATTAATTCCCCACACTCCTCCTCTGTCCCAGGTACAACCAAGGAGTTCCCATGGCTCACTGAAATCCACAAGGTTCCTGGTTATCCATCCCTTACGTGAAAGGGTTGTTCTCTGCAGCAGAGGAGCTGGGGATGGCAGAGTCAACCTCTGGCAAATGCCTCTTGCTTTTCCCAAATGCGATCACCAGTGGCTTCCCCTGCAGCTTGTACCCGTTCACCAGCTGTAGGGCACTCTGGGCCGACTCAATATCTGCAACAAGAGAGAAGAGTGGGTTGAGCTCACCCAGCACCATCCCTAGAATTGTCTAAGAGGTGTCTGAAGCTGACACTGGAAGATGAAGTTTAAGGTTTAGGGGTTACAGCAGAGTGATGGATTGACAGTTGGATGTGATGATCTTAAAGATCTCTTCCAACCCTGATGATTCTAGGAAGAGGACGGAATTAATTCCCCTGCTTCTCCTTGAAGAGCTGGCTTAACAGCAGGCCAGTGCCCTGGGGGAAGATGTGGCACCTTTGAGGGTTAGGGAAGAACAGAGAGCCACGAGGCAGAAACTCACCAGGGAAGGTGATGAAAGCCTGATCCCTCATCCGGCCGCTCAGGAGGCGGAACTGGATCAGTGGGTTGTCCTCCTTCTGGAACCGAGCAAACAAGGACACTAGGTCCTTCACTGTCACCCGAGGGCCCAGGTTCTTCAAATACAGCACCTGTTCCAGAGACACAAAGGCTGAGCCAGCCTTTGCCATACAAAGGCCTTTCAACCTGGTCCGAAGTCCGTAGAGCTCAAGCGTATGCATTAGTTCAGCCCCTCTGCCATCGCAGAGCCCTTACACCTGCACACTAGTGATGTTTGGAGGATGGGTGGATGCACAGAAAAAGGCAGCTCTGAACTCAAGGCATCATCATGCTTGCCTGCACCAAGTGCTGATAGTTTCAGTTATGTATAAAATGCAACAAGCTCCAGCTACCAGTTAAGCACAGTTTGAGTACAGTCACAACAGGTCACAAGTCAGGCCCAGAGGAGCACATCTTGACTGGTGACCTGCCAGAGCCAAGGAGGGCTGGGGTCAGAAGTACAACCCTGCAGGCCAGTGACTTCCCACTAGAGCCCAAGGTTCCTTTCCATCCCAGAGTGCAGGCTGCTCTCGCTTAGCCAGGAGAATCAGTCAAGCCATCTCCAGCCAACAGCAAAGAGCAGCCTCTGCCTGCTGACACAGCTTCAGGGCATCTAGTGGGCAAGAATCAATCCTCGTTCATCTCAACTTACCTTGCTGGGCTCCCCTGGATGGTAGGATGAGAACCTGGGTATTTTCCGTAGTTCTTCCTCTGAGAGACGGTTCTTGCAGATCTCCTCTTCTGGGACAAACTCTACAGCCTCTTTGATAACCACAAGCCTTGGAGATGACTGGTGGGGATTTGTTGCAGGAACACTGGAACTTGCTGCCTGCTCTGCTTGCTCTTCCTGGTCAGGAAGTGATGACTCGTTAGTCACAGGCCCCTTCGAGGCCAGGGAAGGACACAAGCATGAGTCACTCTTACTAGCAGGCTGGACTTTTTCAGGACACTTCTTGCTCAGCAGCTCTTGGTAAACACTTTCCAGATGAACCATGGGGTCCTTTTCGTCTGTTACCCTCTTCTGAGTGTCATCTAATTCATAACAGAGAAACATGGTAATGTGACTACCACCAAGAACCTGGAAAACACACAGACTGCAGGAGGAGACACAGAGAGGAGAAACCTTTTTCCACTCCAGGCTCTGTGAATCTGTCAGCCAGGCCCTGCAGATTGTTTGAAACAAGAGGAGCAGCCCCAGCAGCCAGGAAGTGCTGCTCTCCCAGCCCAGGATGAACCTGCAGAGAAAAGCAGCTCCACTAGTGCTATGTACAGAGCTCATTTCTTCCAGAAATGTCCTCACTAGCTTATCTGCAGCAACATTTCAGCACATTCTAGTGATTCCTTCAACACACCTTCCTCCTCTTGCATGCACAGCCAGGACATGCCATGCTGCCTTTCTATACCACTACACAGAATATACACTTTTTGCTTCCAGGATCAGATTAAGCTCCTGGGTTTAAAAAAAGTCCATGGCATGGACTGATCAATCATCTCCTTTAACTCTATTTAATGGAAATGAGGGCAAAAGTGAGCAGGGCATCTCCCAGCCTGCAAGTCTGAACCTTGCTGCCTCTTGGTTTTGCTAAGTGCCACAACACTGGCACCAAGGAGGGAGCAGGAGTCAGAGGACACCGGGTCAGCTAGACATTATAGCTTGAACAGCATCAACACTCAAAGGGATGTTTTAGGAGTTAAAAGACTAGATGTTCCTCCTCATCCTCTATTTAATACTGCCTTACATACAAAAATCAGCCTAGCCTTGAGCTTTGCCACATGCCCTCCAGCTAAAGCAGACTAGAGCAGTTTTTGTCATCTGTGGACAACACTTGATTCTCTGTCTGGAAAAGCCACATTAAGCCACATTAAGCCACAGGCCTGGGGACACATCACTGAGGCAGGAAGTGCTGTCATCCCATGGACATGGTACATGGAATCCACAGCTAGATCCAATTCCACTTCAGCTACTGGGAGGAGCCTTTCACAAGTCATTCCTACTCTCACCTGCTGCTTCCCTTTCCTTCCTTCCCACGCTTTTTAGACTGCAGTTACCTCAGAGAAGGAACAACCCCTAGTCCCACACAGGCACTTTGTGTAACTCAGACATCTAGACTCTACCAAAACATAACCCCAGCTTCTCTTCCACACCCCAAGCTGGGCTCTGCACTACATGCAGCACTCCAATGTGGTTCATGCTTTCCAGAGAAGGACTTTACATGTCTCTATATTAAATCCTTCAGAGAACCAACTCTCTATCTGCTCCTGTAAGAGAGGAAAATATCTCCTCCCACACAGCACCAAAACAGAACCACATCTTCAGGGACAGGCGGCCAGACAGAAACGTGTTGGACTCCCACATGGCCTAGCTCTCTGTGCTGGAGCAAAGGCAGGAGGAGCCCTGAGCCCACAAACCTTCGTGGTAGAGCGCCCGGAGGAAGGAGTGGCGGTCTGTTCCCTGGAAGAGGGCGTTCTCAATCTCCATCTCCCTCCGGCTCAGCTGCTTGCTGCCAGCAAACCTCGCTGACCCTCTTCCATCTTCTCCTGGATGGCATGGAGTCGGTCCTGCGTGGCCTCTGGGGCTGCTCCCAGCCCAGAGCCCTGGAAGACAAGCACGGCTTTGCTCAGGAATGGCATAGGCCTCCTTCTCAGAGGCTCTGCCAGCAGTCAAACTTCACACATCCTCCAGCCCTGCAGTGAATGCAACTAGGAGCCATCCCCCAAAGAACCAAGAGGTCCTGTTACTGCAAAGATAGGACACAATCACTCAGCAAGCTCAGTTCTTGAGAGAAGTGGAGGAACATCCCTTTCCTCCTGACCTTTCTGTGCTTCTTCTCCTTCCCTGGCCTGTCTCCCTCTGCCCCAGCAGTCCTTGCCTCTGACAGCTACAGCCATTTTCCACAGCCACCTTCAGTAATTCACAAACTCCCCTTGGCAATTCTTTCCCCATGTCTATGGCATTCGCAAGCTCAAGTTTCCACCAAGCTTTTCATCTATGACCCTGGTGTTACTGAGAGAACCTTATTGAGAAGGTTTGCCGTTTGGCATGCAAGGGCAGGTTTGTGCTGAGGACTGAACCCCAAGCCAGCTTCCAGAAACCACACAGCTACTGCAGCACAGACCTCACAACTCACATGGCTACGAGCAAGTATTCCTGGATAAATAAACCTCATTCCGTGGGGCCAGGCCACTTCATGCTGCCAAAGCAGAGAGACATACCCCAGCTGCTGAAAGGCCATTTCTGTTCCCCATCCACCTCGATCAGGATCCAGAGAACACATTTTTATGGGGCTGTGGGTGAATTTTCTTTTTTCAAATTCAGTTTGAGAATTACTGTGGCAAACCCTTCTGCCTCTGGCAAGAAACCAGGCTTTCTCCCTGCACTGACCACAACCTAATAAAGACTCTTCCATGGTACCTCTCCTTCTCTGCCTGATTACAGGGGTCCTACTTCTATATGGCTTCCATTCACCACTTCATAGCTTCCCTGGGGCACAAAAGCCTGTTTACATGGAAAAGCAATTCCCAGAAATCATTTGTAGTACTTCATTTTCAAAAACGCTGCAACTTAGCAGCTGAAACTAACAGAAATCTGCACACAGTACTTTGCCAAGAGCTCCCTGGGCAATGTCCTATCCATCTCGGCTCACATTCCTCATCATTCTTGGAGGAATCCTTCACTCAGGGCCTCCATGTACAAAGCTACACATCCCCTACATGACTTGGGCTTTCCCTCTAAATATTCTTCTTCATTCACAAGCTGTAAAAGACATACCCTAATGTCACTGGTTCCTTCTGGCAGTGTAATGTTGCCCATGCTAATCTTTATTTCTAAACATCCCAGAATTGAATTCACACTAAATATAACAGCTGGTACTGTTGACATTTATTTTCATTCTTATATTAACACCACCCCTCTCTAAACCAAGCTTTAATCAGGCCACAGCAGGGCTGGGTTTGCATTTAAACACCAAAGCAAGTAATGACTTCAACTGAGAGAGGCAAACCTATGATTACCACAGACAACTCACTCCTGCACACAGCTATTGCTTAAGAAGAAGGAGACAGAGGAAAGCCAACGGTCAGCCTGAGTCCTGTTTTGCACCTTCTAGTTTAACAAATTAAGAGTAGGACACTGAAGTGCACCTGACACCGGACAACCCCAAAAGCCCCTTGTCCCTGGA